CATACTGAATTTAATGTAGGTTTACCACAATTACAAAATGTTGGACAGATGTTGAAGACACTACAGGAGTGTTTTTTGTAGGAAGGAAAAATCCCTGCGTGGCTGAGTGGGAAGTGTCCCCTTTACCTTTAGGAAAGTTTCAGCAACTCCTGAATACTGTAAAAATAATTGAAGAATACCAGGTTGCTTCTACTTTTAGGCCTGAACTTCATGTGAAATGGGGTGGTGAGCTGAGTACTCTACACAAAGCATGCCAAGGAGTGAACCACCTGAGCAGCACTCTGCTGAGCTGCTTTCTGTGTTGCTAGTCAGATCAGCAAGAATTACTGGAAAAAGATGAGATTTTATTGTTTTCTTCTTTACTGTACAGAATTCACAGCTATAAATTATTTATCTGCCGGTTTCAAGATGTACATTGGAGCTCTTCTGGCTCAGTAGATGTTGAACATAATACAGGTTTTCTGCTGGTTAGCAAAAGCATGTAGTGAGCTCACAGTTGCTGCATCTAAAGGCTGTTTCGTCTGGGTAGGAAGCAATCAGTGATCATAATCAAATTCTTAATAGATATGGTAGTCTGAAAGAGGGGTGAGTGCTTATGGCCTTCTTGCCCGCAAAAGCGGTCCTTTAGAGGCTAGCTTCAGCTGCTTGAGGACATCTAAATAGGAAGCTACTGGGGGAAAATGGCTTTTTTCCTTTTTTTTTCTTTTAATAAAGAAAGAAACTTTATGAGCGAGCTGATCTGGACTGTCAGACCAGATTGGTAAATGTTGAGCACACATACGGCATTTTTTCATTAGAGAAAGTCACAGCACAGCTACAGAAGTGAAATACTCAAGATAGTAACATAAAACACAACAGTATCCTGTTGTGTTTCAGATGGTAAAACAGCAGCATGTGCACATGCATGTCATCTGAGGGAAATGAGAGCATAGCACTGTGACCTAGATAATCCAAATCAAACTGTGCTTGCATTGAGAGAAGTGGGGGGAAAAATCAAATCCTGCAGATTAATCAGTCAATAAAGCAGGCATCTGTAGAACTGCTTACTACCTTAATCTTTTGGGCACCCAGACTAACAGATAACCCAAAGCCAGATTAACCTGGCCTGAGTATATTAAATCAAAAAGGAGAAAACCAGCCTGGATAATCCATGTGTCGAATTTCTACTTTCAAAAAGTCTGTTAAATTTTCAGGGTGTATTTGCTTGCTTTTTTTTTTCCCCTCTTTTGCTTCCCAAAATAAATTGTCAATGACTGTTCAGTGGCGTCTGAGAGTGGTAGCTGCTATCAGTATGTTTCTCGGTGATCATGAAGGCTTTGTAATCAGATTTGCATTTAAAAAGTAGAGTTCCTAAAGAATGTCATGAGTAATTTTTTCAAAAAAAAATTGAAGGGGTACTGTGAAATAATGGCTATTTTAAAGGATGTAATTTTCATTTAGAAATTGCACTGAGGTATATGTTTAGAGAACGCTTTGTGAATTTTTCTTACCTGAAATTAGCTGAATACTAAATAGTCATCTACATTTACATGAATGAGGCATTTTTAGGGTGTGATTCATCTCATGTTAGGGTAGACAACTAGCTGAACTGACTTCCACCCCTTGTGCAGAAGTGAAAGCTAATGGACACATAGAAATGAGCCCTGTTGCCCAAATGCAGGGAGGTAGCCGGGCAGCAGGGATGGAGCACAGGTCACTGAGGGAGACGATCTGGGTTCTCGGTCTGGCACTGCTGGTAATGCATCTGACATGCTTTTTCTAAGCCAGGGCATGTGCATCCCAAACAATGGGGGATCATACCTCGCCAAATTGCAGTTGAGGTGGCATATTTGCCTGGCATAGGACAGTGACAGCCAAAGATGTTGTTTGGTCTTTTGGCAGAGCTACTTTGCACAGCTTCGCACAGGGCTGCTTTATATGATACAGAAGTAGATTTTGTTCCCTGTTCTGTGCCACAGGGATTATGATTTCCCT